TACTGGCTGTGAGCACCCAGAGACAGTGCTGGGCTCCCCATTGCCTCAGGGCGTCTTGTGGGTAGGGATGGTCAGCACCAGAGCAGGTATTCACAATGTGGCTTCCCCCCCCCCCCCATTTTTAGAGACCAGGTCTCACTTTGTGGCCCAGGCTGGAGTGCAGTAATGAAAACATAGCTCACTGTAACCTTGAACTCCTGGCTCAAGCGATCTCCCACCTCAGCCTTCCTATTAGCTGGGACTACAAGGTGCATGCACACCATCAAGCCTGGCTAATTCATTCATTCATTTATGTTTTGTTAGAGATGGGGTCTTGCTATGTTGCCCAGGCTGGTCTCAAACTCCTGGCCTTAAGCAATCCTTCTGCTGGGATTATAGGCATGAGCCACTGCTCCTGGCACAAAATGTGGCTTTTTTATTTCACTGAAGTTTTGTGAATTCCAGACTGGGCTCACCTGTATATACCTGTAAAGACATAATACAAATAGCTTGTAAGCTTCCTATTTCTTTTATTGGCAAAAAGTACCAAGGCCAGAAGTGTCAACAATGTACAATTGCTATGGTCTGAATGTTTGTGTCCTCCCAAAATTCATATGTAGAAACCTAACCCTCGATGTGATGGTATTAAGATGTGGGGCCTTTTGGGAATGGGATTAGTGCCCTTATAAAAGGCTCTCAGCTATGGGGGAGGCTGAGGCCAGAGGATCACTTGAGCCCAGGAGTTCAAGACCAGCCTGGGCAACATAGCAAGATGCCCTCTCAAAAAAGCAAGAAAGAAAGAAAGAAAAGAAAAAGATGCTCAGGGATTTGTTTGCCCACCCACCACGTGAGGAAACAGCCAGAAGGCGCAGTCTAGGAGGAAGTGGGCCCTCACGAATCTGCCAGGGCCTTAATCTTGGGCTTTCCTGCCTCCAGAACTGCCAATAATAAATTTTCTGTTGTTTATGTGTTACCCAGTCAAGGTATTTTGTTGTAGCAGCTCAAGAAAGATTAACACAATAACCAAACTAGAATTGTGTGTAGGGAGCAAACGAGGGGATTTGTTAAGGAGAGATCCCCTCACCTCCTTACTCTCTCTGGCCCAGTGAGTCTGAGTGCTCACATCTCTCAAGAAAGGAAGGAAGAGAACACGCAAATGAAAAATGAGGACAGGGTGGAACAGGAAAGTTTTAGCGATATTAAAGTATAACAGAAAGGGTTCAAACCCTCATTAAAAAGCCAGAGTGAAGCCCAGAGTGTAAATCACTTCACTTTTGAATTTTAAACTTTCGCCCCATACATTTTTCTAAACATCAAGAGCCGTGTAGGATAGAAAACTCTCCCTGAAGACAGATCTTTCATCCTGACAGAAGAGGACACGGATCTCTTCTGTTCACATGCAGACCACTGTGAGAAAACAGAACGGAACTGCAGTTTGATTTGGTGGAGAATGCCTTGGATGGGAGTTGGGTGAGCGGAGTGCCTCAAAACTAAGTCTCCGAATGCAGTGGAAAGAATTTGGAACAGGCTAATGGACTTAAGTACACATATCGGCTCTGTCAATTTTATAGCTGTGAGACCTCTAATTTGCTTCTTTCTCCAAATCACAGTTTATTTGGCTCCAATATGAGGACATGAATATCCACTTTGCATGGTTAAGTGAGAATTAAATAGGACACACCCTGAAGAGCACCTAGCACCTAGGCGATCATTAACAATTTGAGCTACTTTGGTTACTGTGTTTTCAGGGCTCTCGGGGTGTTACATTCTGAGCTATACGAAAATCACTGAGATACCTTTCAAATTCATAACCCTCTTTTCCAGGGGGATTCCTTCCTTCCATACCTTTCATTTTAAGCAGGATTATCAGGCAGTTAGAGACAAGTTGCTGGAATGAAAGACTAGATAAGATTCTTTTTCTATTTTTAATTTTTTTAGAGACAGGGTCTCATTCTGTTGCCCAGGAGTGCAGTGGCATCATCATAGCTCACTGCAGCCTGGAACTCCTGGGCTCAAACAATCCTTCTGCTTCAGCCTCCTGAGTAGCTGGGACTACAGGCACGTGCCACCAAGACTGGCTAAAATTTTATTTTTATTTTTTGTAGAGATGAAATCTTGCTATGTTGCCCAGGCTGGTCTCAAATTTCAGGCCTCCAGTGATCCTACCGCCTTGGCCTCCCAAAGTGCTGGAGTTACAGGCGTGAGCCACCATGCCCAGCCTAGATAAGGTTCTTGAGAGCTGGTGAGTAGGTTCTTGAGAGTGCACCTGCTCCAATATTCCCCTACAGAAGGGTCCTGCTGGGTCTGGGAAAGGTCTGGGAAATGTGTTCTCTGAGCACACAGCCTTGCCAGGACTACACAGGAGCACAGAGAGAGGGTGTCCCGCCCGAAGGCTAAACTGGCCTGTAGATCCGGCACAGAGTCAGGAAACTCTTCTTCTTCACACATCTGGGAAAGTTCTCATTCTCGTGACATTCTTCCTGGTGTTAATAACTTTAGTTAAGCTGATACCCACATTTCTGAGAGCACAGGCGGAGGCGTGGCTGTCATTTCGAGTGGTTGGAAATCCTGTCCCACCCTCTTCTCCCTCTCTTCTGCTCACTTTCCAGCTCTGTGGTTCTCAACCACTCCCTAGGGAACACTTCGAAAATTTGTGGGCTTTCTTTCTGTAATCACAAAGATGGAAGGGGGCACTATTGGCATTTATGGGTAGGGCAGAGGTGTAAGATATTCTTCAAAGCACAGCCTGACGCAATGAAGAATTGTCCCTCATCCAGATTCTCAAAACTCCCCTAGGACATTCATGTAGGTGAAACCTGTGTTTAATTATCTGAGCCTAGAACTTAATACAATTTAAAAAAAAAAAATGGTTTTAATATACAATGAACTTTCTAGGAATGCAATTACAGTTCTGTGTAAATTTAGAGAAGACTGACTTTGCTACCAAAAGTTGTTTAACATTTCGTTAAATCACTTCATTGATGGCAACGTGCTGGAGGTAGTTGAGTCACCAACTCAGCACCTGGATCAGGCTGTGCTGGTAGCAGCTCTGTCCTCCTGAGTCTCTGGATGGGTGTAAACATCTGCCTACCCCATTAAGACTTCTAGTGTAGTCGGGCCTCGTCATTCACACGTTAAAATACTGTTTATGTTATTTTATTACAACTTACTTCTCTTTTATTTCCCTTTTATATTACAGACAGGGAAGTATTTGATTTTTTTTAAAGTTAGGTAGGTAGGTTATATATATCATTTATGAATTTTAATTCAGGATAGTAAAGGGGTCATCACAAAATATCTATTATAAGAGAAGGTCGAAGGTTGAGAACCTCAGTTCTAGTCAGTCTCCCAGTATTTGGCTTCTACCTACCTTTTACCCAGGACCGGCCAGAAAGCCCCGTCTCCTTCCCCAGCCCAAACTCAGGCCCGTGAACAACAACACACAACACACAACACACAACACACAACACACACACCCCCCAATGCCAAACACAGCCAGAGCTTCCGGAGCTCTCAAACGGCCTGCGTTTCCTGTCTGTACAGCTTCCAGCACAAGCTCAGTCAGAAAACACTGTTGGCTAGGGCCTGCTGAAGTGTTGAAGATAATGCTGGCTCCTGCCCACCTGGAGGTCCTTTTTTTTCTCTTGCCTTTTTTTCCCCTTCCTACCTCAATTTCTCCCCTTGTCGCCCCCCTCCCGGTCTTTTGCTTCCAGTCCGCCCTGGCGGGTGGCAGCACTGCTGGGCCATGGAGCCGCCCTGGTCTCCCGGCTCCCTCTTCACCCCTCTTCTCGCCTTCAGGCCGCTCTCGGCCCCCGCCCCACCCCCGCGACCTCCGGCGCTCCTTCTGACCCTGGCTTCTTTCTTTTCCACCGGTCTCAGTTCTCATGGCCCTGGCCTCTGTCTCTCTCCTCTCACCCGAATCCAGGGCTGCCTCCTCTTTGTGCAGCCGCCTCTCTGCACCTTCATCCCGGCTCCCTGTCTCAGCGCCAGCTCCTCTGCCTTTGGCTCGGGTCCCCTCACCCCCACCCCAGTGTCCAGCTATATTGGCCGTAGGTCCCCCTGCCGCGATCGGTCCCCGCCCGTGTGCGTGAGCACCAGTGAGTCTCCCTCTGCGCCACCTCGGCCCGCGCCGCTCCCCCGCCCGCCCCCCGGCGCTGTGGGCGGTCCAGGGCGGGGCCGGGATCCGGGGCGGCTCCCGGGGCTCGGGTTGTGGGAGGCTCCCTCTCCCCGGTCCCCCCCTCTTTTCCCCCCGCCCTGTCTTCCCCTGCACCCTCCTTCTTCCCTCCACCCGAGAGCTTTCCCCGGTCCCCGGCGCCGCCTCCTTCCCTCCCGGCTCCCCGCTCCCGTGGCCGCCGCCGCCCCGGGGAAGGAGAGACAGGGGTGGGGTTTGGGGAAGCGAGAGAGGAGGGGAGAGACCCTGGCCAGGCTGGAGCCCGGGTTCCAGGGGAGAAGGGACGGGCGGAGGGGAAAGGTGGAGGAGAAGGGAGGGGGAGCGGGGAGGAGCGGCCGGGCCTGGGGCCTTGAGGCCCGGGAGAGCCGGGGAGCTGGGCCGGCGCGCCGAGGTAAGAGCCAGGGCCCGGGGGAAGCGGGGCTTGGAGACGGGCACGCGGGGGCCGGCCGGCCGGCGGGCGCAGGGCGGAGCCGGGGAAGCGGGGCTGGGGGAGCGCAGGAACGGCGGGCACGGAGTCGGGGAGCGTTGGGGCGGCCGATCCCGGGAACGTGGGTAAGCCGGGCTCCGGCGAGCCGCGGGGGCCGCGGGAGAGGAGGCGGTGAGAGGTGGAGTCCCGGGAGGGTGGGGGGCCGAGGGAGGCAGGAGGAGGGTGGGGACAGGCTTTCTCTCCTCCTCTCCCCCCACCCCGCGCGGGGCTCCGCCCCCGCCTCCTCCGCGGGGCGCTCGCCCGGCACCCTGGCTGAGCCGGGTCCGAACCTGCGAGGCGACCGGAGGGAGGCCGGGCCGCCTCCCGGTCCGGGCCGCGCCTGCGAGGAGCTCGGTCCGGTCCTCACCGCCGCCTCTCACTCAGATGCTGCTGCTGCTGCTGCTGCTGGCGCCACTCTTCCTCCGCCCCCCGGGCGCAGGCGGGGCGCAGGCCCCCAACGCCACTTCGGAAGGTGCACCCTTCTCCGGCGACCTCGGGCCCTCCTCCACCCGCTCCCTGCATCTCATTTCTGGTCCTCATCACTATCTCGTCAGCCCTACTTGGCGTCCGGGTCTGGCAACCCCCTGTGCTCGGCACCACTTTACTACTCCTGACCTCCTTCTGTCACCCCACATTACTACCCAGAACCCCTTTTCTCTGCCCACGTTACGCTACACCGCCTTTCCATGCATTATTTTCTCGGCCCAACCCCCTTTCCTGGCCCCACATTACTACCTCAATTCCTCCCTTTCCTTGGTCCCGCTTTGTTGTCCAGATGGTCTTGTAAGGCCCCCGCTTCTCATCCTGATTGAACTCAAATATCTCATTTAGCCCCTTTTTGAACCAAGCTTCACCCACATATTATACCCTTCACAATTTCTTAATTACTTTTCTTCATTACCCCGACCAGCACTCTTCCCTCCGCACTTGTGGGTTCTGTCATCAGCTTTATCCCTCTACTCTCTTTGGCCTTTAGCCTCAGGTTCTGTACCTGTCCCCACTCCCACCCGCTAGTACCCATCCCTTCTCTGTCCCCAGCCTGCCCACGGACCACGCCCTGCTCTCCCCTGCCTCCCGCTGCCTAGTCTTTTTCCTCTTTCCCACCATTCCTCTGAGTCTGCCTCCCCGCCCCCCCCTCAGGTTGCCAGATCATACACCCGCCCTGGGAAGGGGGCATCAGGTACCGGGGCCTGACTCGGGACCAGGTGAAGGCTATCAACTTCCTGCCTGTGGACTATGAGATTGAGTATGTGTGCCGGGGGGAGCGCGAGGTGGTGGGGCCCAAGGTCCGAAAGTGCCTGGCCAACGGCTCCTGGACAGATATGGACACACCCAGCCGCTGTGGTGAGTAGCCTGGGGAAGCCCCTCCCCTCCGCAAGACCGTTCCTTTTCCTGCCTCAAACTTAGCATCACTGCTTGCAAAGTCAGCACTCTAAACCCAGTGGGACCAAATTCACAAATACATTTGTTGAGTGACTACTATGTGAGAGGGATTTGGCTGTGTGCAGTGGAGGTGATAGAGCTAGCAGCCTGCACATTTCCTTAGGCCACTGATCACTGGACAAAATAACTTTGATTATTCATCATGTGAGCTGTTCTCTTTGAGGCTCATTAGTGGTAGATTATGCCAAAAAATTCTAAAATGATTTCATCACATTTTTGAATACCTCTGTCTGCAACCCAGAGACAGAAACAAAAGCCAGTTCAATATTAATATAAGCCAACTATAATAAGAAAAGCAAGTCTGATTGTCTATCCAAAGTTATATACATCTACACATTTCAAAGCCAGAAAGCCACCTACTGTAGCTGACTTTGAAGAGATCCCATTTTGTGTGCTTATAGCCCCATCTTGGGTTCCTGCAATGGAAATGTTTTTTCTTTTGGGAATGTGTGGATGCTTTCAGAGTAAAGGGAGGATGGAAGATAGGGAGGCAAATCCTTTTTACACATGATTTTCTGTAGAGCAGGATGCTTGTGGCTCTAAACCCAAACTTGATCCCTTTGCTCTGTGAGGAGAAGGAGCCTTCTCCAACTCGCCTCTCTTCTTGTCCTGTCTTTCCACAGTCCGAATCTGCTCCAAGTCTTACTTGACCCTGGAAAATGGGAAGGTTTTCCTGACGGGTGGGGACCTCCCAGCTCTGGACGGAGCCCGGGTGGATTTCCGGTGTGACCCTGACTTCCATCTGGTGGGCAGCACCCGGAGCATCTGTAGTCAGGGCCAGTGGAGCACCCCCAAGCCCCACTGCCAGGGTGAGGGGAACAGCCGCCTGCACACAGCTGATGACGCTTGTGCAAGGATGGGAGTGGGGTGGGAATGGATGGTGGGAAAGGATTGGATGCTATAAAAATGGGGGATGGCCTTGGAAAGGTGGGGGTGACAGCCCAGTGCTTCCTTCCATGTACCTGCCTCATACTTCTTCCTGCTGTCCCCATATCCACTTTGCGAACATTGGGGGTTTCCTTCCTTTACCTTTTTTCATATCTTCTCTCTGCCCCCAATTCTTAGCCTCACATTTTCTCTTTTCCTTTATGGATCTTACCCTCCCTTACCTTCTTAAGGTTTAGATGCTCCAGTTTTCCCTAGACTCATTCCCTTTCGCTAAACTTAGAACTTTCAAGAATTGATCCCTGACCATTCATTATATAATTGATTTATTATAAAGCCTCAGAAATAAATCATACATTGTATTTAGAAAAACTAATAAGAGGAGATCTGGGACTGGAAACATATCAGGGCAAAAGACTTAAAATTGGGGGCAGAATTATCAGAACATTAAGGACAACCCAGGGTGGGGTGGGAGAACAGTCCTTTTCTGTACCTGCCCAGACTACTGCCATCATTCCCTAAGGGATTGGTGTTGTGTCTGTCTGCCACTTTTTTGCTGTCTAGTTCTGCACACTTCTCCCTCTGGGCACCCAAACTCTCCCTCTGCAGTCACCTCTCCTGGGATGCAGGCAGCCCATTCCTGTGCCTCATACTTCCTCTATCCTTGTAGACTCTGTCCAGATCCTTTGCCCTGAATTTCCTCCTGTAACTCAGTTATTCTACTTCCAGTTTACTATCCCACTCGAGAAACTGGGAGTCCCATCAGGGGTGGATTTACTGTGAAGCTAATGAAATTAAAGCTTCAAGGTGCCTCACCTACTGGCCCTCTTCCTGTGCTCTAATAATGTAGAGGGCTCTAATAATTTGTTCAAATGGTAATAGGTTTTGGTAATAATTGCAAAAATAAGACTTTTAACAGCAATTGCTTAAAGCCAATTGTATGTGTAATATTTTCTCTTTCTTTTTTTTTTTTTTTGAGACAGAGTCTCACTCTGTTGCCTGTGTCAGCCTAGCTCACAGCAACCTCAGACTCCTGGGCTAAGCAATCCTACTGCCTCAGCCTCCCAAGTAGCTGGGACTACAGGCATTCACCACCATGCCCAGCTAATTTTTTATGTGTATATATATATATTTTTAGTTGTCCAGCTAATTTCTTTCTATTTTTTTTAGTAGAGACAGGGTCTCGCTCTTGCTCAGGCTGGTCTCAAACTCCTGAGCTCAAACGATCCTCCTGCCTCAGCCTCCCAGAGTGCTAGGATTACAGACGTGAGCCACCGCGCCCGGCCGTAATATTTTTTCTTAAAGGACCCCCCCCAATTTTATAATATGCAGGCACCACAAAACTAGGTTTGCCCTTGCCTTTGCTGTTCGCACTCCTGTCTCAAAATCTGTTGTCCTATGAAAAGTAAGAGAAGAAAATCAAGTCCTGACCCCCAGCCCCACCTTGCTCTTATCCTCAGGCACCCTCCCCTCAGAAACGCAGGCTTCTGCTCTCCCCGGTCTTCGGCATGGACAGGTGTGGGAGGGGGCTGGGGATCAGGCCAGGGAAGCTGGGCACCAGTGGTAACTCTTCTCTGATCCCGTCTTTCCTGCTGCCAGTGAATCGAACGCCACACTCAGGTGAGATGAGACACCCTTATCGCGTGCACTGCATCTCCTTCCCCTTCACTCTGCACCCTCCACCCCCAGAAATTCTGCCCTTCGGCTATGGGGTGTCGTCTTTTTCCCACTTCCCCCCACTCACCCCGGTTTGCGACCGTCCCCTTTTCTCCCTACCTGTTTCCTGCCTCCAGTCTCGGTGTTCCGCGGCCGCGGTCCCTCCCCTGTCCCTGCCTGGCTGCACTGCCCTCGGTGCCACCTCCTGCCGGACTCCGCCCGCTGCCAAAAGGCAGAGCCCCAGCAGGGGGCGGCCCCGTGCCGGGAGCCCTGAGCTGCCGCGTCCTCCCGGGGCGTCCTGCCGGGGGTTCCTTCCGTCCTCTCACGGAGCTCTGCCAGCCCCTCCTGGGGTTTCACCCGGCGGACTCCGCCAGCCCACGCCGCATCTCAGCCTGGCAGGCCTCTCACGCTCCCTCTTAGCTCTTCTCCACATCCTCCCCTTCCTTGCACCCCTTCTATCGCAGTTCCTTCTCCCGGCTCCCTTCCTCAGTCTTTCCTACCCAGCCGCTCTTCCCCTCCACGCCGCCTTCACTCCCCGCTCGCCGGTCCCACCCTGCCTGTACCCCGCTCTTCTCCAAAACCGTTCCCACCCTGTCTTCCGCGCGCCCCGGTCCCCAGCCATCTCCTCCCACCCCCTTTCAGACCTCAGGCGCCAGCCCCTTGTCTCGCCCCACTCTCCTCCCCTTCTCCGCCCCTCGCTCTTCCGAGCTTCAGCCTCCAGCAGCCTCCTCCGCCCACCCGCCTCGGCACGCCCCGCCCGTCCTTCCTCCTCGGGCGCTGAAGTGGGACCCCTTCCTGCTTCCCTCCCCTCGGCGAGGTTGCATCCTCGCTCCCCGCCTCCCTCTGACTGCCGTTCCCACCTCGCGCTCGCTTCCATCCCCGCCCCCTTCCTCCCTCCCCGTCGCCTGCCCGCCCCCACCCCCTGCGCTCGCCGCCCGTGACGTCAGAGCCCCCTCCCGGCCCCACAGCTCCCTCCTCCTCCTCCCCTCCGTCGGTCAGTCAGTCCGCGAGGAGAGTCCGCGGTGGCGGTGGCGGTGGCGGGAGGGAGAGCCGCGGGGGCCGGAGGAAGCCAACCTTCCCTGCTTCTCCGGGGCCCTAGCCCCCTCCTCGCCACAAAACCAGGGATGGAGGCGCCTCCCCGACACCCCCTCACCAGCCCTCCCCAGGAAAAGTGTCCCCCTTGAGCGCTTCCCCCTCTCCAAGCAGCTACCCCAGCCCCCAGCCATGGGTCCGGGGGCCCCCTCTCCCCGGGTGGGGTGGCCACTGCCGCTTCTGGTGGTGATGGCGGCAGGGGTGGCTCCGGTGTGGGCCTCCCACTCCCCCCATCTCCCGCGGCCTCACCCGCGGGTCCCCCCGCACCCCTCCTCAGAACGGCGCGCAGTGTACATCGGGGCGCTGTTTCCCATGAGCGGGGGCTGGCCAGGGGGCCAGGCCTGCCAGCCCGCGGTGGAGATGGCGCTGGAGGACGTGAATAGCCGCAGGGACATCCTGCCGGACTATGAGCTCAAGCTCATCCACCACGACAGCAAGGTAGCCCTGGATATGGGAGTGGGTGGGAGGTAGGGGTTTGGGGGGCAGGGGGCCAGCCAGCTACGTGGGCCTCAGTCTGAGTCGCCTCTGGGATTGCAAGGCAGACCCCTCCCATGTGTGACTAGCAGGAGATGGGCTGGGGGTGCAGGAGCTTGGGAAAGCGTCGCAGGGGCTGGAGGTTCAAGACGAGGGTCTAGAGGTTCAAGATGGTTAATCACGCTGCTGGGCAGCCCCTTCTGCCCGGCTATAGAAGACTCATGGAAGTGCCTGGGGGTTGGGGAAACCGGTGACGGATTTAGGTGATTGATTTAGGGTAGTAGCCCATCCTGATCCTCTGAGGGAGCAAACTAACCCTGGGATGGGTTGGGGGGTGGAGGGATTGTCAGAAGTGGGAAGCTGGATCAGGGTTTTACATTTACCATGGCAACAAGGTAAATCTTGGCGTAGGTTGGGGCTGGAAGGAATAGGGACAGAATCAGGAAAATTTTGAGGGACCTGAGAGCTCTAGTTTATTTAGCACAACAAACACAAGGTAGCTGTGAGCCCTTCCCGGCTCCTTCTCATCTCTCTATTCCCAGCCCCACTGAGGATTCCTGGGCTATGGGAATATATGGCATGTGGGATTTGATGGTCAAGAGGTGGGCAGAGGCAGTTGGATTAGGGTCTATACTGGACCCCCCACAATAGCATGGGGATGGAGAAGAGTCGGGATACAGGGAGAAAAAGAACAGAAAAGAATGGCAATTGGTGGGGGTGGGGGTGGGAAGGAGGTAGGGTGGGGTTAGTGAGAGAAGCTGGGACATCCTGGGGAACTTGGTCCCTACTTTATCTTCCCTTTTGGCGTTGTGGCCTCTAGGATGTGAGAAGGAGAATGGGATGTAGGGTTAGGGAGGGGAGGAGGGGGAAAGGTAGGAAAATTTAGGTCCGGGGTATTAGGGCGATGGTTTGTAATGAGATTCCTTTCCTGCCCCTCTCCCCTACAGGAATAATTGGGGTTATGGGGAAGAATGTGACACGGGGAAAAAGGAGATTTGGGACCTCCTCAGATTTATCTTCTCTGACATGTGGCCCCACGGGCTTAAGGGATTGGGCTAGGGTGACATAGAGTACAGAAGGTGAGGATCTGATGATCTTATACCTGGGGTGGATTTGGAATTTAGATTCAAAACACACCTAGAAATAGGCATGTGACTGGGGAGCAGAAGTGGGGCTGAAGGCAGGGTGCTTGGAGAGAAGAGAGCAGGGTGTCAGGAGCTTGGGGAGAGAGCATCACATCCTTTCTGACTGCTACCGTCTCGGTGGTTCTCAAACTTCAGTGTACATTGGACACCAGAGGAGTTTGTTTAAAATAGATTCTAACTCCTTGGTCAGGGATGAATCCTGAGTGTCTGCATTTTTACCAACAGGAATCCTGTCCTGGTGGATGCCTGAGCTGTAGCTAACCCCAGGGTGCCTATGGGAAGAGCAGCAGGGTACAGGAAAATAATTAGGTGTTAGGGTAGGGGAGGCAGGAAGAGAAATAAAGGGTCAGATCTGGTGGAGGGGTCAAGCTTGGAACTAGAGAGAGAATTGGCTTTGTGGGGTGGGCGTGTGAGGAGAGGACAGGGAGGGATGGGTGCAGGCTTTAGGATGGGGATCACAGGGAGAGAGGGGAGCTCTGGCTGTGAGCTCAAACTCATCCACCATGACAGGTGAGTCCCTGAGGTGCTGGGGAACAGATGGGGGACCTGGGAGGAGGGAGCTGGAGAGGGTAGCAGAAGCAGTATGGGGTAGGGTGGGAAGGCAGAGAACTGGAATGTGTCAACTGGAACTGTCCTTTCCTGCCTGCAAATCCAGATCCTTGTAAGAGCAAAGTAGAGGGAGGAGAACAGAGGAAGTTCACTGGGGAGGGGTGAGAATCTGCAGTGGGGAATAGGGTGTGGAAGGGGGAGGGTTGTAGGAAAAGGTAGAGAAGAAATGAGGAAACAAGAAGAGACGCTGGGGACAGACATTGCTCTGTTTATATGTGTCTTGTATGTTCTTGCACGTCCTCATTGTTCCCATTAACCTTTTCTTTAGGTGAGCAGTGGAGGGGCATGGAGGGTCCCTGGGAGAAGCTGGGGCAGGATCTGGAGTACTAGATGCTGGGAGAGCGAGGGAAGGTGGGACCTGAGGATAGAGAAATGCAGAGAGGCACAAGTGAGAGGCATAAAGAGAAAACCTGCAAAATGCAGTTGAGCACTGCCCTTAGCAGGGGGCAAGGGTGGGGTGGGCAGAGTTCAGGGTGAGTGTTGGCTCTGCCAGCTTCCCCTGGCTCCCCCTTCTCCAGCTCCCCACAGTGTCCCAAATGTCAGGCCTCAAGGGGAGGAGAGCAGGCTCTGGGGGCTTTCTTTATTTCCTTTCTGCCCGCCTCCTCCCTCACAGCAGCCTCCCCAGTCCCCCTGCCTCCTGGGTCCCCTCTGCCCTGGCTCCCCACTGGCTACCATTTCTTCTTCACTTGCTTTGGGGCTCCAGCAGCTTCTGAAATGTCACATATCAGCAGGAGGGGAACAGGCAGTGGGAGACCCAAGGCTGGCTCTTCCTCCCTCCTTCCCCTCCTCTCCCCCCTCCTCTCTAGCTTTCTGCATTGTTTACTTTCCCCAGCTCGGAGGAGTCTCTTTCTCAGGCACCCCTAAAATCATCTGGTTTCTTGAGAGTTCCATTCTACTCATTCTCCCCCATTCTTTCCTCATCCTACATTCTTCCCCACTTCCACCTCAGAGTGTTTTTTCTAATGGACCTGTCAAATGTCAGCGCCCAGCAGGAGGGGGTGGATCAGGAGCAGGACCCCCTGGTGGTCTTGTTCCTGTTCTCTCTTGTTTACTTATTGCTAGCCCTGAAAAGAGAAGAGGGAGGAAACAAATGGAAGGTGGGGAAAGGGAGCTTTGCAGAGTGAGGGAGGAATTTTCTTAATAGGGCTTTGAGCATGCTGTCTGGGGACAGGGGGAGAGTTTACTCTTATTCCTGCAGACTCTTTTCTACCCACAAATAGATAGAAATATGGGATAAGGAGTTGGGCACCAGAGGTAAGGGGGGCTTGGGGATGTCTGAGGGTGAGCCTAAAGGAGGGAAGGCAGTGTATGCATTAGCACCCGCAGAAGTGTGCAGGAGGGGGTATGGATAGGCACCAGCTGGAAGACAGAGAAGGGAGTTTAATGAAAGAGAAGGAAAGAAAAAGATACCTGACAGGAAACAATGTCAGCAAGGAGAGGAAAACAGTAATAATAATGCAAGTGAGTAACTGAGAAAGGAACTAGTTTGAGAAGAGACAAGTGGGAAATACAGGCAGGGGAGGGGCCCTAGGAGAGCCTGCTCTCACCCTTCCCCCATTCAGTGTGATCCAGGCCAAGCCACCAAGTACCTGTACGAGCTGCTCTACAACGACCCTATCAAGATCATCCTCATGCCTGGCTGCAGCTCCGTGTCCACGCTGGTGGCCGAGGCTGCCAGGATGTGGAACCTCATTGTGGTAAGCAGGGCTGTGGGGGCGAGAAGGTGGGGTCGCTCCCTTTTGGACTCTACTGAGGGAAAGCGGGGGACTGGGGTTGAGAGGGCTGTGGAGGATCTGCTTCCAAGGTTCAGAGTCCTCTGCAGGCCTGAGCTGTCAGCATCCTAGCCACAGTGGCCCAGCAGTGCCGCAGCTGACTTCCTTCTTTGGAAGGAGTTGGAGTTAGATCAGTGGAAGAACATTCTGATTGTAAGGAGCGTGTGGGCCTTTGAGAATCACTTTTTCTGGAGCAGACCAGAGGTGGGGAAGTTTGGAGGGAGTAGCAGAGAGAAACCCAGAGGCAGGGAGAGGGTTAAAGGAACTCTTAGGCACTCTCAGTGGAGTCCAGGATGAGCAGACCCTGTAGCACTCTCCCTGCCCTCCTAGCTTTCCTACGGCTCGAGCTCACCAGCCCTGTCAAACCGGCAGCGTTTTCCCACATTCTTCCGAACGCATCCATCAGCCACACTGCACAACCCTACCCGTGTGAAGCTCTTTGAAAAGTGGGGCTGGAAGAAGATTGCCACCATCCAGCAGACAACTGAGGTCTTCACTTCGGTGAGGAGAGACTGGGCAAAGGGCAGCGGGCACATCCGCTTGAACTCCTGCGGTGGGGGGGGGGACGTGGGGGAAGATCTTGGTTCTTTATCAAAGGAGAACACATTCCAAGGGGGCTAAGTGTATGTTCTTTCTGCAGCCAGGGGGATGAACGAGGTGAGTTTTTGGGATCTTCTCCATCTTTTTGATTTTGTGATTTTTTTCCCTCCTTTTGATGCTGTGTTCCCCAGACCGATAGGCCCCAAATGACTCAGTTCTGTTAAAGCAGGTTCAAGCCAAAGTTGAGGGAAGAGAAGGGAGGGATATGAGATAGGAATCCAGGAAGGCAGCAGATTCCAGAGGCGCTCAAGGGGGTGGTGGGTGGGTGTGAATGGGAACAGAGGGGATGGAGCCAGTGGGTATGGGGGCAGAAATGGAGAGGAGGGAGAGAAAGAGAGAAGGGGGAAGGAGAAGAGAGAGGAGAGAGAGGAAGGGGAGTCAAGGGGAGAGAGGGACAGACGGATATCTACATGGGTCTGGTAGCTGACACTGAGAGAGAGATGCCAGCAGACAGGGGAGTTTGAAGGGGAGAGGGAGATCTGTGGTGGTAGAGGAAGGGCCCGGCCCTGCATCTGAAGAAGGCAGTCCGCTCCCTCCCTTTTATTCCATTCTGTGGGGCCTCTATCCACTCTTATGTTCAGTGGCTCTTTAATCCTCCCCCACTTTCTCTCAGTGATTCAGACCATTCTTCTCTGATGCTTTTGTCTGTCTGCCCACTTGCTTCTTGAAGTTGATATTATGCTGTCTGTACCTGTCCCTGCCTGGTCTTTTCCTGGTTCCTCTGTTTTCCTTTCCCCCATTTTTGCTGTCAGTGATAGGAGTGGGGTGAATGGGGTGTCTTCCTGGGACACAGACCCACAGGAGCGGCTCACCATGCACCTTCCCACTTGTAAGCCGTGTCCTGAGACTCCCCAGATGTTTTCCTTTCAGCTCTCCCCACCTTGTGGGCAGAAGCTGTCGAGGGAAGGTTCAGGATGGCTGCCGCTTCGCACTGAGTGTTGCTCCATAATCACCAGTTGTCTCTGGTCTTTGCTCCGTCGTGCACCCCACGTTTTTCCTACTTATTTCTCATTCCCGCCCAAGACTCTGGATGACCTGGAGGAACGAGTGAAGGAGGCTGGAATCGAGATTACTTTCCGCCAGAGTTTCTTCTCAGATCCAGCTGTGCCTGTCAAAAACCTTAAGGTGGGACTGCTGGGCGTGGTGGGCTGCCTTTGCAGAGGGCGGGGCGGAGGGATGGTGGTTGGCTGGAGAGGAGAGCCCTGTGGGGGGAGGTTTTGATTCTGTGAGGCAGCAGCGACCCTGGGGAAGTTTGGCTCCATCTTCAGTTGACATTTATCTACTGTCCTTAGAGCACTGTCTTTCACTAAGCACTTTGGGATGGGAAATTGAAGTTGAGAAGGTGCTGGGCTCAGCCCCTCAGGAGCTCTGTTTCTCTCTCCATTCTGTAGCGCCAGGATGCCCGAATCATCGTGGGACTTTTCTATGAGACTGAAGCCCGGAAAGTGTTTTGCGAGGTGGGGTTGGGATCTGAAGAGGCAGTGGGACCGGGCGGGTGCTCTTCCTCAGTTTTCTCGCGGGATCTCCTCGTTGCCTCTCTGCTCCAGTTGATAGCAAGTGATCTGAGGTGACGACTGATACCATGTCCCTGTCCGTTGGCCCTGACTCCATCCCTTGTCTGCGTGCACGCATGCACACGTGCGCGCGCACACACACACATACACACGTGCGTGCACGATACTTTCTCGGATCTCGTTTTCCTACTGCTTTGTTTTTCCTGAGGAGCCTGTGAATTCCATCTTTCCCGACTGGCTGGAAAAGGCCACTCAAAAATAGTGGGGCTGGGGAGGCCCTGAGAAGGAGGAATCATTGAGCTTCTCCTACCACTCCCAAGACTTGTAGATTCCACTTTTTATTAATAGCTCGCTGTTCTTCCCTGATTCCCAAGAGGCTGAATAGTGTCAAGTGAGATAAGATGAAACAACAAAACAGAACAAAAACTCGGCCAGAACAAAAATCCTTGTCTCTGTATTTAGGTGTACAAGGAGCGTCTCTTTGGGAAGAAGTATGTCTGGTTCCTCATCGGGTGGTATGCTGACAATTGGTTCAAGATCTATGACCCGTCTATCAACTGCACAGTGGACGAGATGACCCAGGCAGTGGAGGGGCACATCACCACTGAGATTGTCATGCTGAACCCTGCCAATACCCGCAGCATTTCCAACATGGTGAGGGCGTGGGGGCTTAGAGGCTGGCACCTGGGAGAGTGGGGGGACCTAAGGAACTTCTCAGGGGAGGGGAGGAAAGAGGGTGTGGAGTTTGGACATAGAGGAGGGGAAGGGGCTGTGCCCCACTCTGAACTTATGTGCATTATGTTTCCTGTGCTCTGCTGTGACTTCCTTGGGCAGGAGAGAGAGAGAAAGACGATAGAGTGGTATGTTCAGTGGGTTCCTGATGAGTGGCAGGGCTGTTACCATGGAGACGAGGAGCAGTTGGCGAGAAGTCACATGAGGAAGAGGCGTTAATGATACCATGGATGCTTGTATTTGCAAGCACACCTTTACAGGAGCACTGTTGCGGGCAGAAATGTGTTTTATTTTCTTGGTGACTTACGTTAGTACTTCAGAACTGCTTAATATTCACTCGTGACTGATACGCAATTAGTTTGGATCCTGATGCTTTCTTTTAGTGATTCTTTTTTTAGAATTTTAGATGTAGCAGGGACTTTGAAATCGTTTAGCCCCAGACCATAGGTTAATGACAGACTTGGAGCTAGAAGGTCCATCCTCTGATTTGAGAGGGCTGGGGCAGCCCTGCAGATGCGGGGCACGGCAAATAAGGGTGTGGGCGTGGAGGAAGTGGTTCCTTCCTTGCCCAGCACTGCATCTTTTTTTTTTTTTTTTTTTTTTTTGAAACAGAGTCTTGCTCTGTTGCCTGGGCTAGAGTGCCGTGGAGTCAGCCTAGCTCACAGCAACCTCAAACTCAAAGCGACCCTACTGTCTCAGCCTCCCGAGTAGCTGGGACTACAGGCAAGCACCACCATGTCTGGCTAAATTTTTCTATATATTTTTAGTTGTCCAGCTAATTTCTTTCTATTTTTAGTAGAGATGGGGTCTTACTCTTGCTCAGGGTGGTCTTGAACTCCTGACCTTGAGCCATCCTCCCGCCTCGGCCTCCCAGAGTGTTAGGATTACAGGCGTGAGCCACCATGCCTAGCACTGCATCTTGAAGAGTCCAGGGATCTTGGGTGAGGTTGAGAGGGGAACCTGTGTGTCTGCTTACTACACCAAGTGTATACCTGCTTTGGAGAGCTTGCTAGGGTTGAGTTAATGAGTGTAAAGTTCCCAAATAGCTTATCAAAAAATGTCTCAGATGCATGATTTTGGTGATCCAACAGCAATACCATGCTGTAGATTTATCATTTACATTTGATAGACTCAGAGAGGTTTAATGTCCCAGGTCATGAAGCTACCGAGTGGTCCAGCTGGAATTGAATCCTAGTTAAATCTAACTACAAACTGCTCTGCCTCATGACTTCTAATGGAAAACCGTGAAGCCTGACTAAAAAATTTGTATTTTTATCTGCTAACACTTTTTAGCCAGTGGCAGTTTTTGAGCATGGGAGAAGTAAGATTCGAGAAGTGGGTTCTGGTGGTGGATCGTGATGGAGATCAGTAACCATGTGAACTCTGATCACAGACAGTGTCCTGGGGCATTCTAAGGGGACTGTGTGCTTTCGGCCTCTTAGCTGAAAAATACAATGAAAAGATTCTGGAAGGTCACTGCCCTGGAGCGTACCTGAGAGGTGAGTCATCCTCAAGAACCTAGGGAAGTAGTAGAGCTGGCTGCCAAAGCCAGAAAGGCTTGTTGGTGCCCTGAGCCCAGGACCTGCCAGTCATGGCTTCTGTCCCATAGCAAGGGACTGGAGGAGCCCGACAGAAAATGGAGTTGGTTAGGAATGTAGAGGGACACCTGAGCTTTGGAGCAGGATGACTTGGAGGGTCTCTCTCTGGCTCTTGGTCTCTAGAGAAAGGTAGTGTCCGCCTTCGGCGCATAGGGTTTCTAGTGACACCAGCCTAAAATGCCAGGTGGAGAAGCCAAGATTTTCCAATAGAGGATTGAAGCAGCCTTAACAACTGTCTAGGGAAAAGATTATAAATGAATCAAGCAGCACCAAGACCTAGAGGGCCAGAGCCGTGGAGACGTAGAAGAGAAGCAGAGTTGCCTTTGCTCTCTGAGGATGGCCTTATGTTTAGATCAGTAGTTCTCAAACTTTAGCTGTCATCAGAACCCCCTGGAAAGGCAGTTAGTACACAGGTTACTGGGCCCTTCCCTTGGAAGTTCTGATTCAGTAGATCTGGGGTAGGGCCTGAGTATTTACGTTTCTAGCAAGTTCCAGGGATGCTGATACTGCTGGTCTAGGTATCACACCTGGAGAACTATTAGTCAGGGCAGTCTAGTTTTCAACCAGAGGCTGCAAGGTCTGGAGACATTTTTGGTTGTCACAACGGGCAGTGGTAGTGTGGGGAGGGGGTAGATGCTCCTGATATCTAATGGGTAGAGGCCAATGATGCTTCTGAATATCCTACAATGCTCAGGACAGCCCCTGCCAAGAAAGAGCTGTCCTGCCCAAAATGTCAATAATGCAGAGACCAAGAAACTCTGATTTAGAGAAAAAATCTTTAGGGGCTGTATGTGGAAATGGAGAGTAAGAGTGGCTTTGGAGAACTACAGCAGTGGGCTAGAGGGGAGGTGAGAGGCGGCGTATCTGGAGATACAGCTGTGAGTAACTCCTGATTGGGGTAGAGCTTCCATCAGACCTGGGTCCAACACAAACTAAACAGCTCAGGGTGTACATTTTAGATTGCTGTTCAGCATCCGTTCTCTCATATAGAGACAGCCAGACAGGGCTGTTGAAAAAATTAGGATCATACATTTGCACTTGGTTAATTCGTTAATTTGTATGGGTTGTGGGATTTTTGTTGTTCAGTTTTCCTTAAGTTGCATAGTAAAATTTCTCTTCGAAAATTTATAACCATATCTCTGTTGACTCAAGGGAGAAAGATCGTTTTTTCATAATTTCAGTCACGGGGGCAGAGGTGCCCCCAGTGGTTAGGTGTTTCAGTGGTAGTGACCGGGAGTGAAGAGGCAATGTGAGGAAGTGGGCAGGGGAGGGCAGCATGCTGAGCAGATGAATCCCTTCCTACCTGGGTGATTTTTTGCTGTAGTGTTTACTTTGAACTGAAGATTGGGTAGACCTGGAAGCCAAAGGACTACTCAGAAGTCTCAGCCTGGCTGCTGTCTGTGCAGGTGCATTTCCACGTCAGAGACAGGGCAGGGTAGCTGGTAAGAGTGTGGGCTTTGGTGCCAAACTGCCTGGGTTTGAATCCCACCTCTGCTACTCACCAGCAGTATAACTTTGTGCAAGTTATATAACTTTTCTGTGCCTCAGGTTTCTTATCTCTAAAATGGAGATAATAATATGTAGCATGTACCTCACTGGATTGTCTGAGGATTAAATAGGTTGATATACATACCTTTAAAAAGTGCCCGACATGTAGTAAAAACAATGTAAAAGTTAGCCACTGTCATCGTCATCATTATTCTGTGTAGGGAGGGGCGATATTAATGAAACATTTCAATAAAAGAATTAAGAGGACTTGGTGAATTGAAAGAGTCTAATGTGATTCCAAGGTTTCAATCTCATGTACTGGGAAGTATTGAGAGGTGAGGAAAAATTGAGCTTTGTCTTGGATATTTCGAATTTGAAATTATTGATCATATAGTTACAAATCCTTTAGAGTCAGTTGGAGATACAGATTTGGAATATTGAGAAATTATATAATAGATCTGAGTGTCAGTTACAAAGATGAGGCCGAGACAGGGAAATTTACAAACAGAAAATGTAATTTACTTTATACCCAGCATTTTATACATGTTCTTGTTTCATCCTTACACTAACACTTTAAGGTAGTAGCAGTCCTATTTTTGTCTCAGATTTTGTAGCAGGTAAGTGGATTAATTAAAATTGAAATTCATCCATCTATTTATCCATCCAATAGACTTTTTACAAAAAAGACTTTTTTTAGAGCAATTTTAGGTTCACAGCAAAATTGGGAGAAAGGTACAGAGATTTCCCATACACCCCATGTGCACATCCTTCCCCATTATCCACATCCCCTCCAGAGGGGGTACGTTTGTTACAGCTGATGAGCCTACACTGGTACGTCGTAATCACCCAAGGTCTACAGTTTACATTAGAGTTCAGTCTTTGTGTTGTGTATTCCATGGGTTTGGACGAATGCATAGTGCCATGTATCTACCATCATAGTAGTATACAGAGTATTTTCATTGCTCTATCCAGTGGACATTTATTGTTCGTGCATTGTGGGCTGGGCATGGTGCTGGATGCTAATGGCTAAACGGGGAGTGGAACTCGGTCCTGTCCTCAAGATGGTAGAGCCCAGGCCTGTGTATCTGCACAACCCAGGCTGTTTCCACCACACTGCACTGCCTGTGTCCTTTGTATATCCCACTCTCCATCTCTGCGGAAAGCTGAATAGAGGGAAAAGTGGACAGGGCATGGGAAACAAAGATATTTATTTATTCTTCATTCATCTACTTCTTTCAGGCGGGTGTGTGCGCTAGTACATTCCAAACCCAAACCATTATCTGTGCAGTGGCCCTGTGTGTCACTTGTGCTTTGCCAAGAAGTAGTTGCTGAGTCTCTTCTTGTGTGGTTTCTGGGAGGTGAAGAAGGAAAGAGGTGATTTTCTCCATTATGTAGAAGGAAGTTCCAAGAGGTTAAGTAATTTACCTGCAGTGCTTTAGCCAAAGAAGTTTACTGCCAGGTATACAAAGTCAGGTCTTTTGACCCATTTCATGGGAGAGTTAAAGGAACCATCATTCTTTTTCACTTGCTTGGAAAAAGAAGGTTGAGTGTTGGGAGGGGTGTGAGTAGGATTCAATAACAGACTTCAAAAATGCGAAGAATATTTCTGTAGTTCTCGGTCTTCTGAAAACCCTCCAAGAGGCAGTGCACTGAAAGCACAGCAGAATGACAAGAAATTAGCACACTTAAGGAAAATCTTCCTGGTTGATAAGCAGAGTGAGAAGGGCCGTGGTGTCACCTTTTCTAGGATCTTTCAGAACTGCAGGAACTGTTAGATCCTGGGCCAACTCTATTGAGAAAGTCTGAAGGATGAGAACATCGGTGTCACAACTCTTCGTTGGAATATCCGCATCTCTTCCTTTACTCTGTCTCTACGTTCTGTCCTTTGCCATTCATTACCCAGTGTGTGTATTTGTTGAACTTCCCTGTTTGTGGTTCTGAGCTTGCAGCTGTGCACACTGAGGCCATTGGACCCAGCTAATCCCTGCTCTAGTCCAGTGGCTTCCAATCCCCAGACACATGGGGACAGGCAAAGATTTCGAGTGTATGTATGTTCATTCTGACAGCACGGACACATACCATCCACTCAGGTCGCAGTGTTTGAGCCAGAATTGGATTGCACCTTCCCCCCCCCATACACATTCCAGTTCTTTCCTCATGTTCTTCCCTTTCAAGACATCCCAGGAATTTGTGGAGAAACTAACCAAGCGCCTGAAAAGACACCCTGAGGAGACAGGAGGCTTCCAGGAGGCACCGCTGGCCTACGATGCCATCTGGGCCTTGGCGCTGGCCCTGAACAAGACATCCGGAGGGGGTGGCCGGTCCGGCGTGCGCCTGGAGGACTTCAACTACAACAACCAGACCATTACTGACCAAATCTACCGGGCAATGAACTCCTCGTCCTTTGAGGGTGTCTCTGTGAGTCACAGCAACTTCCTTCACACTCCTCTGTCTTGCCATCGAGAAAGACCCCTTCAGAGAGGCTTCTCCTCCTGCATGCATGCCTTCTGTCCTTCTCAGGCACTTCTCGGCAATAATCCGCCTCAGACCGGGGGAGTAGGGATCCCCAAACCAGAAAAACACATTAAAGACTAGAAGGGAAAAAATGATTTATTCCATTTCTTTCAGCCCCTCCCCTCATTTCTTGTCAAACCAGTTCAGGTATATATGGTCAGATGAGAATCGTAAGATTTTAAAAGACAAAACAGTCTGGAATATTATCTCTTTACTGCTTTTAAAGTGGGAAAATTAGTGCCAGAGGGATTTGGTGACTTGTTCAGGCCACACAGCCAGACGCCAGGTCTGCTGGTGCTCTATCTGGGGATTTTTCCCATTCAAATCTCATGGTGAAGCTTCTCCAGAGAATATTGTTTCTAAAATCTAGGGTATGGGCATCTGGGGTGTGTCCTATATGCAGGCAATGCCATAAATAGCATTCATTCAGAGGCTCAATCACATCAAACGCAGAAGGATTCAAAGAGTCCCTGATGTTCTCCTTCACTTCTGCTTTTGTCCCTTTGCCTTCCTCCACGCTCCTCTCCCTCAGGGCCACGTGGTGTTTGATGCCAGCGGCTCTCGGATGGCGTGGACGCTCATCGAGCAGCTGCAGGGTGAGTGCAGTGGCAAGAGGGGATGGGAGGTGCGGGTCAGGCTAGGGGTGGGCGAGGACACCCGAGACAGCACGCATTGCCTTGGTGCCACCCCCTTCCTGCCCTTTTGTTTTAACTGTGTTCATCGTGCTTTTAAATAGTAATAATAAAAAGCTTAGATTGAATGACACTGGTTGTGTTCTTGAGTAGGGGCATGCAGATTAAAAACAGCCACTCTCTTTCCCAGTGGCTTCTATTTCAATTTCAGAAATTTCCCTTTGGTGGCCTGGGTTGAGGGGTCGATGACCTGTCAGTTAGACTCATGGAAAGCTGTATCTAGGAAACCTGCTGTTTTTTAAGGGAATCCATTGAATTTCCTTGCCATGTAAACTGTCATTTCTGATTCATTTGTAGTAGGTAGAATTTTCTAGATTGTAGGTAGAATTTTCTAGGCTTTTCTAGATTGTATGTATATTTTAAAATATTTTTTGGAGAGAAGGTCCTGCTCTTTTACCCAGACTGGAGTGCAGTGGCACAATAATAGCTCACTGTAGCCTTGAACTCCTGGGCTCAAGCGATCCTCCTGCCTCAGCCTCCTCAGTACCTGGGACTATAGGTGTACACCACCACACCTAGTCAATTTTTAAAATTTTTTGTTGAGATAGGGATCTCACTATGTTGCCCAGACTGGCCTCGAACTCCTGGGCTCAAGCGATCTTCCTACCTTGGCCTCCCAAAGTGCTGGGATTATAGGCATGAGCCACAGCACCCTGCCTAGATTGTATTTTCTTATAATTTTGCAAACTTATGTATTTGCAGAACTTCCATGAGTTAATTTTTCAACTCTAGAACACTCTCAGCCTTTTATGGAGAGGCCAAAAAACCCATTCTTGGCTACCTGTGAAAAGTTTCTTTCTTCCTTTCTCCCCACCTCCCACATCCTCTCAGCTCTTCTTTGTATCCAGGACAAGAGGAAATGGATTTCAGCCATGGTGAAAGGGTGTGAGTTGGCTTTTGAAGGAAAAGTTACGGTAACTGGGACAGTTCTAGAACAGAAATCTTAGAAGTGACTGAATTTTACTTAGTGGCTCTTTAAGAGGCAGATGTAACTTATCCAAGGAATTAGAAACCAAGCCAATGGAAGAGAAATTTCTAAAGTTAAAATGAAAGCCACTGGGAAAATAGATCCTGTCCATCATGAGAAGGAGGATAACCAGAAAGATGTTTAAAGCTTAAGAAGCCAAAATCAAAGCGAGAGACATCTTGCCGGAAGAGGTGCGAGGAAGTGAAATAGGTGGCAGACGCACTGTGCAGCTTCCTGTGGAAGAGTTTCAAACATGCAAGATGTTCTTATTTACTTGCGTTGCCTTGGGAGCCGCCTTGTGTGGCTTTGGAGTCAGGTCACTGATCAGGAGACCCCTAGGTCCGTCCAAGCATGGGTGAGGGGCTCAGGCGCAGATGAAATCAGATACAGCCGTGGAAAGCATCTAGGGAAGTGGGAAGTTGAGAATGTCTGGCTAGGATCGGCTCTTCCCCTGCCTGTGGTCACTTCTGTTGCTGTCTGCACAGGTGGCAGCTACAAGAAGATTGGCTACTATGACAGCACCAAGGATGATCTTTCCTGGTCTAGGACGGATAAGTGGATCGGTGAGTGGATCCTGCTGCATTTCCCTTCAGCCCCTCTGAACAATCTAGGGAAAGAGTAGTGCCTTTGAGTGAGGCTGGAGGTGGGGGCCGCTAGGTTGGAATGTGGCTGGGAGCTGGGCCAGGGAAAAGGGTTAAGAGAGTGGCCACAACTCCAAGACGTGGGTACAGGAGACTGGTGTGTTTGGGAGGGAATAGCTGGTGGGCAGCACTATTTTTAATAGTACATTACTGTGGTAACTGGGATTAGAGTCAGGGGGGTGGGCAGAGGGGGGGAAATGGAACCTCCATTTGGGTTTCCCAGATGTCCCGGTGCCTGGATACATCTGAACCAGCTACTTCAAGCCTAGAGCTGTCTTTGTCTGTCTTCCTCAGGAAAACGGTTGCTTAAACTGTAGAGAAGGATGCAAAACCTCATATAACTGCCATCTGCTAAAATGTGCTTTTGGAAGAGGGAAAGTAAGCAATTGCTCTTTGTGTAGTTGGTGGCCTAAATGATAGGAAAGAGGAGAGAATGTGAAGGTGGGCAAAAGGAAGGACCTCCTGGTAAAGAAAGGATAGCTCCTCGAGGGCGTGGGGAGGCCCAGCCATCTCCGACAGCTGCTGTCTGCCTCCCCAGCTGAAATCTAGTCGTTCCCAGCACTGCTGGAGTTTTGCAATTTTTTTATAATTTGAATTTAGGACAGTGTTCTGCACTGCTATAAATGCTGCCGCATGGCCTAAATTGCGCCCCCCCCTTTTTTTTAACTAAGCAAATTGAAATTAGTTATTTTGGTGAACTCTAACAAATTTGAACTTCCACTTAATAATAACTGAAGAACACCTTTGGGAATATCACCCTGCCAGGGTTGAAATCTCAGATCAGCGTTTTTGGTTTTTGGGTGTTTTTGTGTAGGGTTAGGAGGCCACACTAGAGACTTTGAGGCCCCTTTGGCTTTATGATTCTGTGATTGTCTTTTTTGAAGCCTTTGATTCGGGTTTTAAGAGACCTCATAAAAGTTATTTCTCAGCTGTCTCTTTCTTTCTCCTCTGATTTTCCTTTCCCACAAGAAAGATAGAAAAACAGAAAGAACAAACAATAACAAAACAACTTTGGGGACATGCCCTAATCATATCCCAACCTCTGGACAGAGCGTTCGCGCCAGCCTCTCATCTCATTTTTGATTGCTTCCTGAGGGCCCTGGCGCCTGCGAGCTTCCACCTGCAGCCCCTGTTCAGTGCAGTTGGGGCCCGTGTCCTCAGCCAAGGATGGAAGCCCATCAGCAGCCTAGTCCTTCGCCTCTTTCTCCCATCCCATCTTCATTCCTCCTCCTTTGTCCTCTTCCTTTCTCTTGTCCCCTCCCCTCATCCTCCCCTGTGCTATGCAGGAGGGTCCCCCCCAGCTGACCAGACCCTGGTCATCAAGACATTCCGCTTCCTGTCACAGAAACTCTTTATCTCCGTCTCGGTTCTCTCCAGCCTGGGCATTGTCCTAGCTGTTGTCTGTCTGTCCTTTAACATCTACAACTCACATGTCCGGTAAGTTTCTCTTCTGACTTTTCCTTATTCTGTCTGCCTGTCCAACATAATGACTGTGCTCCTTGAGGGGGTGGGAATGAAACCTGTGTAACTCCCAATGCCACGTATCATGGAAGTTTTCATTCCGACTTAACTGAGAATGAAAAAGGGGGAACTGGATATAACCCCCACCCCTGCTCCAAAGCAGCTAACTGGAACAAAAGAAAAGAAAAAACAACCTTTGCGGCCAGGTCACACAGCCTTGGGCTCTAATCGGTAGAGGTCTATCCTGGTGGCGGCCCCATGCTGGGAAATCCCTCTGCAACCCTGGCCCCAGCTCCCTGACCGAGTGGCTCTGCTGCCTACTCCAATCCTGTCTTCCTTTTGTCCCGTGGCCCTAAGGAGGGGTCATGCCGTTGCATGGCATTTGGAGAGCTGAGCCTCCCTGAACAAGAGGGGTAATCCTCTCTCTCCCTCTCCACCCTCCCACCCCTGCCCTAGTTATATCCAGAACTCGCAGCCCAACCTGAACAACCTGACTGCCGTGGGCTGCTCGCTGGCGCTAGCTGCTGTCTTCCCCCTTGGCCTGGATGGCTACCACATCGGCAGGAACCAGTTCCCCTTTGTCTGCCAGGTGAGGAGGTGGTGGGCACACACGCGCCTTGCAGGATGGGACTCTCCCAGCCCTCTTGGGAGCCCCTTCCATGATGTGTGGTTCCCATCTTTCTCTGCCTCTTGTCCCTGTTCCTTCCTCCTAGTGTCAGCCCTTTTGCTTTCTGGCTCTGTTCCTTCTTTCTGTGCCTCCAGACCTTTTTCATTCTGTGTTTACTTGTCAGTTCCAGCGTTGCCATGGCGTGCCTTGCAGGGAAAAGGAGGGAGGCGCTGAGGACAAAGGAAGGGGGTCTGCTCAAAAAACCCTGAACAATGGGGGCTTGTGTGTGGTGTGGGGGCAAGAACCAGAACTGTGGACTTCCCACGGCAGCCTCAGTGGGGGTTTGGAAGGATGGAGGCAGAGATCTAAGCAGGCAGCAGAGTGAACTGGGGGGAGGGACCACTGCCACACAGGGAGGGGGGCCTCTGAGACTCTTGGTACACGGAGGGTTCTGGGGCTGCGGGGACAGGCCGGCTTCAGCAGTGATATTTGAGTGGTTCTCTATTATGCTGGTGGGAAACATCCACTCTTTTCCCCGATTCTGCCCATCCTTACTCTCTTTCCTCTGCCCTGTGCTGTCCCGATCATCTGTGCACATGGCATTTGCACGTATATGGCATTTGCACGCATGTGCACATGCAGTTCATCAGGAGGCACCAGCGTGTGCTGGGAGAGGCAGACGATTGGTGCGATCGCAGAGGTGCGGCGTAGGGATCTGCATGAAGGGCTGTGGGAGCAAAGAAGGGACCGCAGCTCGCAGTTGGCATGGTTGGGTTGACCACACAGAAGAGGTGGCATTTGAATGTCGAAGGATGCATGGGGTTTTGTCAGCTGGAGAAATAGAGGAAGGTTGCTCCAGGGACATGGGGAGCATCACGTAGCTAGCAAAGACATGAAAGAGAGTAGACAGGAGAAAGTGGGTAGTTCAGCACGGCTGGAGCGTGGGGTGGGTGCGGGCCTGGGAGATGAGCCTGGGCAGGTGTGTGGGGCCGCATTGTGAGGGTCTGTGTCACACCCGGAGGACTTCAGGCTGTAACCCATAGGTACTGGGGAGTGATCAGAGGTTTTTGGCCCTAAATCCAGGCGATTTTAGCAAGATCAGCTGGTGTAGAAGTAGAGGATGGATAGGAAGAACTGTTGAAGGTGGGGAGACCACCCCTTTGCTGCCCTTCCCCTCTCCATTCACCTTGTCCCCCACGGCTGCATCCTGCTGCTTTGCCACCTACCCCGGCCCACACTCCCTCCTAGACTGGCCAATCCAGTCCCGCTCGCTGCCCTGCCTGCTCCACCTGCGCTCTGTCTACCCTTCTAGGCCCGCCTCTGGCTCCTGGGCCTGGGCTTTAGTCTGGGCTACGGCTCCATGTTCACCAAGATCTGGTGGGTCCACACGGTCTTTACAAAGAAGGAGGAAAAGAAGGAGTGGAGGAAGGTGAGCTGCTTCCCTATCCTCAGCCTCAGCTCCTCGGCTCCTGGGGCTCAGAGGATTTCCCCCTGACATGTCCGTGCCCCTGTGTGCTTGCCCAGACCCTAGAGCCCTGGAAGCTGTATGCTACGGTGGGCCTGCTGGTCGGCATGGACGTCCTCACTCTCGCCATCTGGCAGATTGTGGACCCTTTGCACCGGACCATTGAGGTACCGCTGAGAGGAGGCGCTGGGCGCTGGGATCGGGCTGAGTGGGGCTCACTGGCCAGCAGGGCCCTGGGGCCATGTGGCCTTGAGGGACACAGCTGCTTGGTGAGAGTGCCTCTGCCTTCTGAGCGGAGGAAATGTGTCCTCTCCTTCCTGGAAGGAGCCTGCCAGAGGCCTCTGGCTCCATCTGAAGAAAGGGAGTGGTGGGGCCTAGGAGGGCTGTAGCATTTCCAGGCATCGGGAAAAGTGGGGAACAAGTACTTCCAAGGTGTGCTCAGGCCTGGAGTGAGAGTCGGCATCAGCATCGAGGGTCTCCTAGGGCAGGGTGGGGGTCAGGGGCTGAGCAGAGTTGAGGAGGGCAGGGGAGGGTGGCAGCCATCTGTCCTGTGGCCCATTTCTTACTTAGACGTTCGCCAAGGAGGAACCGAAGGAAGATATTGACGTCTCTATCCTGCCGCAGCTGGAGCACTGCAGCTCCAAGAAGATGAACACGTGGCTCGGTGTGTGGGACGTGGGGAAAGGAGGGCAGTGGTGCGGCAGAGGCGGGAGGGGCAGGCGAGGGCAGTGGGCCGGGGGCAGAACCACGTTTGGGAGAGGGGGCGGAGAGCTTCCAGCCCAGTTGCAACGTCTCCCTCTTTGTCGTTGCACTGATACTTCCTGAGAACAAAGCTGAGTTGGTCTTTTGCTGTGAGGAGCTTAGGCTCCAAAGCGGAGAGGAAGAAGAATTTGTGTTGAGCAAAGGGACGAGTGGGGATGGCCCCTTCTTGATGCCATGCGTGTCTGGTCAGCTCCCTAGGTGAAAAGCGGGGCTGTGAGGTCATGGGTTTAGGCCCCACTTGGCCTTATTAGTGTTGCTCTGATTATGGCGACAAATGGCAAACCTTCCCACCTGGAGGGTAAGGGGTGAGACGCCATGTGTGGCCCAGACGGCCCATCCCCAGCTGTTCAATAGGCTCCATCCTGACTGACAGCTGCTCACAAGCGTGTCTTCCTGTGGGAACCCTAGGGGGAAGCTGGGGGGTCTGGGCAAGTTGGGTGGACATAGGGGGTGGGCGACACGGGTGAGGTGTGCTGGGTCGGAGGGGCTGGCTTGGAGAGGAGATCCCCCTGTCCACTGTGGAGCTGGGAGGTGGAGCACCAGTAGGTGAAGGGCAGAGAGAGGACGAGGACTGAGTGGGGAGCGCTGAGGTCCTCGTTGCCCAGGTGACCCTTTCCTACCACCCTAGGCATTTTCTATGGTTACAAGGGGCTGCTGCTGCTGCTGGGAATCTTTCTTGCTTATGAGACCAAGAGTGTGTCCACTGAGAAGATCAATGACCACCGAGCTGTGGGCATGGCCATCTACAATGTGGCGGTGAGCACTGGCCCCTGCCATCGACCCTGTGGGCTGACGCGCAACCGGGAAGAGTCAGGCCCTAGATCTGGGATCAGTTCCATGAAAGTCTTAGAAAGCTTGTTAATGCCTCAGATTTATAAAGCACTTTATATTATAGTCTGTAAAGCCACTACAGACATTATATTATTCATCTTCTTGCAGCCAGTGAAGTAGGTGTTGGTACCTCACCGTATAGGTGGGGAAGCAGAAACACAGAGAAGTGAAAGTTCTGGTTCATGGCTGGACTCTGAATTGAGATTTCCTGCCGGCTCTCCTGAGGGGCTGCCTCTCCACGGGCATGTGGACCCTGGGAATCCCTGCCCTGAGGGAGGGGTTGACCTAGAGCTGGGAACTGGTTTGGGGCAGTTTATTTGGGATTATTCTCAGTCTAGATTTGAGGATGACCCTGAATTTGGATTCTTTTCAAATGGAAAGTTCACCGGGAAGGACTCTGTCCTTGCAGGCTCTCTCTGGGGGAAGAAGACCCTGGATCTTGTCTGAGCCTACAGATCTGAGGCTCCCCTAACCCGCTCTGTCCCTCTAGGTCCTGTGCCTCATCACTGCCCCTGTCACCATGATTCTGTCCAGCCAGCAGGACGCAGCCTTCGCCTTTGCCTCTCTTGCCATAGTTTTCTCCTCCTACATTACTTTGGTTGTGCTCTTTGTGCCCAAGGTGAGGTCCCATGGGCCCCCCACGCTGCCCTCCCAGGACTCCATTCCCTGCCCTTGCCCGCCCTCCTCTTGCTCCTTCCCTTGTTTTGGGCCCAGCTTCCTGGGGTCCTTCCAACTCCAACCCTCCACCAGCTAAGCACGGCACAGGCCTGCTCAGCCAGCCCACACCCTCTGCCCCCAGATGCGCAGGCTGATCACCCGAGGGGAGTGGCAGTCCGAGGCGCAGGACACCATGAAGACAGGGTCATCCACCAACAACAACGAGGAGGAGAAGTCCCGGCTGCTGGAGAAGGAGAACCGTGAACTGGAGAAGATCATTGCCGAGGTGCGGGGGTGGGTGGAGGGTGAGGTGGGCTGGGGCGGGGGAGGGGTGGCCCATGAAGCCAGGTGCTCATGATTTATGGAAGGAGGGTCTTTGGAGAAAGCCTGCAAGGGAGGGAGTGCATGGAGCAGGATAGGGACGGGAAAGGGTTGAGGAAGATTCAGTCTCAGGCACAATCTGGTGTTGGCCTGGTCAGGTGGAGGGCGCTCTGGAGTGGGAGGCAGGAGGGTGGCCACTGCATGTGGGTGGCAGCGGGGGGAGGCAGCTGTGAGCTGTTTGCAGCCAACACAGCAGCTGGATGTCACGTGTTCCGCCAGCAAATGGGATCTGGACAGGCGCCCACGGGGTCCACTGTGCCCCGGGCAGTGGTTAGGGGCTGGTGCGATGCCAGAGGGGTGTGTTCCAGCCAGGCTGGCATAAATTTCTGTGCGATTCACTGAAGCTCCTTCCCCATTTCCTCCTTTTGTTTTAAAATTCCCTCTGATTTCCCTGACCTCTTTTCTTCTACTGATGCTCCCATTACATTCTTTGGCTTTCCTTGTTCTGGTTCTGATTCCTCATTTAAATTCCCTGTCATTTATCCTGTGTCCCACCCCCATTGTTCTGTGCTTTTCCTCTCTTTCCCTCCCCACCCCTTCACAACCTCCCCTTCTCCCGCTCCGCAATTGTTTCTTCCTCCAGAAAGAGGAGCGCGTCTCTGAACTGCGCCATCAGCTCCAGTCTCGGCAGCAGCTCCGCTCCCGGCGCCACCCCCCTACACCCCCAGACCCTTCTGGGGGCTTGCCCAGGGGGCCCCCTGAGCCCCCCGACCGGCTTAGCTGTGATGGGAGTCGAGTCCACTTGCTTTACAAGTGAGGGGCGTGTGAGGGAGGACAGGCCACTTTGGGGGTGGGGAGAGAGAGATGGAAGGGGGGGACTCGGGAAGGCAGGGTCTCCTATCCCCAGGGGAAGGTCCAATCCCATCTCTTGTAAATACATGTCCATCTGCGAGTCCTGGGCTTATTTGGGTCTCTAATACCTCTGGGAAACAGACCTTTTTCTCTCTCTCCATTCATGTAGTCTTATATCACTGCTTCCTCATTTAGTTTGTCTCTGTTTGGAGCTGCTCACTCCCTGCCTCCTCAGCCGCCTCCCTGCATCCTCCTCTCCCGTCTGCTTCTCTTCCCTGTGCCTGGTCCCACCCAGCGGGGTCTCCTGACAAGTGCTCTTCCCACCCCTGCAGGGGCCTTCCCTTTTCTCTGTCTCAATCTCTCTCCGTCCTCCTTGCCCTTCCACACAGGCCCACGTTTTGTTCCCCCGGAATTTGGCTTCTTCTGGGGACTCATTCTACTTGCCAGGCTCACTTGCTCCTGCCCCTGCCCTGGGTGCCCGCGCTGGCCACACACACGCATCCTCCCCTCTCCCGCTTGTGCCCCTCCTCACGCTCATGTGCACACGCGCTTTCCGAGTGCTGTCTTCATGCTCGGTCACGTGCTCACCTGCACGCCCCGCACTCATAGCTACATGTGCTCCTCTCACGGTCATGGGTTGGCCCTTGTGTGTGTCTGGGTAGGTGCGTGCAATTCGTCTAGCATGCTGAGTCATGTCTCTCCTACTTGCACACAGCCATGTTTATCCATGTGTTTTCCCTGTGTACCCTCAATGTACCTTGTGTACCTTCTTTCCTTTGCACCTTAAAATCGCCATATTCCTCCAGCAGAGCCACGTGCACCCGCCCTGCACAGTGTCATATGCACTCTGCCCCCGTTCACGCTTGGCGGGGCCATGCGCGCCCTCCCTCCTCACAGAATCTCAGTCTCTGCTCGGACTCCCCCTCTCTGTCCACTCGTGTCCCACCCTCAGTCTGCACTCACAGTCATCCTCTCCCAAGATTGCTCCTTTCATTTTGTGTTTTTTGAGGGGAATTAAGGGAAAAGAAATGGGGGCAGGTTTGGAGATCTGCTTCCAGTGGATCGTTGGTGAGACTCCTGACCAAAGGAGGGCACCTGGGACTGCTGGGATGGACAGGTGGACCGACGGGGCGGACGGTGGCGTCCCTTTCACACTGTGGTGTCTCTTGGGGAAGGACCTCCCCAAAGCTCAATAAACCAGTGAACAGTGTGACTCAGCACCTCGCCCTCCTCACTGTGAACAGAGTGGGCCACGTCCTCGGACGGAGGCTGGGGCAGGCAGGGGAGGGGAGGGCTCCAGGTGAATGGAAAGGCATTAAAGCAGAGGGGCGAAAAGGGTGTTTTATGTTTCCACTGGGGGCTCAGCAGTGCTCAGTGGGGCACCATTAGGGCTGAGATTACTGAATGGTGACATCAGTGGCTAAAAGTGCGGGCTCTGGAGTCAGACTGCCAGGACATCAGATCCTACCACATGCAGAACAGCCCCTTAATCTCTACTCTCCGTGTCCTCACTGTGAGATGAGAATAATAACAGTGACAGCAGCAGCAGCAGCAGTGCATTTCTCCGTGGGGCGGATGCAAGGACTAGATTGATCACGCTTTCAGGCACCTAAAATGGTGCTCGGCCCATGGCATATGTCGGGTGGATGTCGGCCTGGTCACTGCTGTTTAAGGAGCTCCCTGACAGTGGTGGGCGCGTGCCCAGAGCCTGGAGCAAGTGTCGGAACAGATGTGAGGAGGACTCTCCTTCTCAGGAAGTAAGAACAACAAAAGAATGAATCTTGCTAGAAGGCAGTAGAAGAGATGGCTCCTGAGTGCTTCCACCTTTAAAATCTTTGTCCAAGGAACTCTGAGCATCTTGGAAAGAATTTGCTATTAAAATGGAAGAAAGTTTTGAATGACCAAGGGCAAAACAAACTTGCCTAGGACTTTTATAATTCTTCGTGTTGTCTTAAAGAAGTGCTTTGTTAAAGCTCATCTTTTCTTTTTCACTTCGGCACTGATTTTTTTTTTTTTTTGAGACGGACCCTCACTCTTTTTGCCCAGGCTAGAGTGCCGTGGCGTCAGCCTAGCTCACAGCAACCTCAAACTCCTGGGTTCAAGCAATCCTTCTGCCTCAGCCTCCCGAGTAGCTGGGACTATAGGCATGCGCCACCATGCCCGGCTAATTTTTTCTGTATATATTTTTAGTTGTCCAATTAATTTCTTTCTATTTTTAGTAGAGACGGGTCTCACTCTTGCTCAGGCTGGTTTCGAACTCCTGAGCTCAAAGAATCCGCCCGCCTCGGCCTCCCAGAGTGCTAGGATTACAGGCGTGAGCCACCGCGCCCGGCCACTTCGGCACTGGTTTTTAAAGTGATTCTCACATTTTTGCAAAAGAGATTCTCACATTTTTGCAAAAGAGCTGCAAGGGTTTGTTGGGTCCTGTTATCCATTGTCCTGTTTAAGAGCCAATTTCTGAACTTCCACTAGAGCATGGATAGGTTAAATCTTAGACCAGCCCTTGAAAAACATTCCTCTGTGATTATCTGCCTTGGACCAATTGGGTTTAATTTGAGTTTCCTGTCTTCCCCTGGTGGAATATTCTGAAGGAGAGGGGAGGAAGCCTATGCAGTAGATAAGCCTGCAACGTGGAAAATGAACAGTTGGCTCCAGAAACAACAGCTGGAGCTGCATGCCGGCCCCCGGTAGAACCTAAAAGACCCAAATTACCCCCTGAGACTGGCATCTCACTTAGGTGGGATGTAAGCTGTAAACAAAGGGTCAGAAGCTCTACTGTGGCCCAGGGTGGGCCGGGCACTCTTTGCTAGCAGGAGTGCAGGAGCCAAGCCAAATGCTGGGGCTTGCAGAGACGCCTGGTGCAAAGGGTGCCCAGGGGACGTGTGGCCAGGCGGTGAGGCCACCGCTCAGCAGTTCTGAGAGGTCTTGCTCCCTCCACACCCACAGGCAGGCTCTGCATTTCCATCCCTGCCTCAGTCAGGGTGGGATTCTCCCTCACGCTTGACTTTGGAACATCAGGCCTCAGTGCCCCTGCTCCCCGCTGACTTGGCCTCTTGCCTCCCTGCCCTCGTGCCAGGCGCCCACTAACAGAAAGCATTTCGTGCACAAGGGGCTGCTGTGTTTTGTTACCTTTTTAATCCATCAAGTGTTGATCGGGCACGTTGCTGAGGCAGGCGGTTTTGATGGCTTTCATGGGACATGCCTTCTCGAGATGGGAAGATGACCAGTAAGCAGCTGAACAAATAAATGAACGAGGTATCTTAAGAGAGCAACCGGGAGTGTGGGGCGTCTCACAGTGTGTAGCTCCTGTGCTCAGGACGGCCCTAATGGGGAGGGGGTTGTATGCTCATTGGCAGTAAGGAGTAGAGCAACATTCAAACTGTGTGTATTATCTATTGCTGCGTAACCCATTACCCTAAATGACTTAAAACAATTATTACCTCTCTCGGTTTCTGTGGGTCAGTAATTCAGAGTACCATGGGGAGAATTTATCCCAATTCCTCAGCATCTGGAAGCTTTGAAGGCTGAAGATTGGAGTCATCCAAAGGGTCCTTCACCCAGTGTCTATATGTGGGTGTCCGCTCTTAGTGGAGACCTTGGCTGGGGCTGTCAGCTGCAACCCTACACGTGGCCTTTGCGTGTGGCCTGGGATTCCCCCTGATGTAGTGACCGAATGCCAAAGGCCAGTGGAGAGAGGGGGCGGGGCGGGGAGAGGGGCAGACAGACATTGCAGGGTTGGGGAGTTGCGGAGAGCCAGCTAGGTTTTTCTGACACAGCCTTGGAAGTTGCATCGCGTCACCGCTGCCATATCCGTTCGTCTGGGCAGTCACAGGCCGTGCCCAGGTTGAGGGGAGGAAACGGGCTCCGCTTGTTGGTGGGGTGAGCGTAAGTCACATTGTAAAGAGAGCATGTGGAAGGGACAAACATGCTGCAGCGGCCTTCTCTGGACAGAAGGATCCGCTGCATCTGGTCCGCCTGCCGCAGAGCCAGTGCGCACTCCACCTGGTCCACCCTCTTGAGTCGATCACCCTAGTCTTGTCCGTTGCTGTCGTTCAGCCTCTACCAGGCCCTTGGTTCCTTCTGGATGCTCCAGGGCCAGCTGTAGTCTCACCTGTAGCCCTCTTCGCCAGAAGCGTTGAAGATGGTCCTGCCAATTGTGGCTCCTCCCACAGTCCTGTGTCATTTTAGGCCACCCTGCACAGGCAACTTTTTGCTTATTCACTCAGGCTTTTGAAGCAGGGAATTCTGTTCTGTCGCCCTTCACGGTCCGTTAATCTTAGGGGGATCGTAAGGTGGGCTTCTTGTCAAGTGCCAGCCTCCCCTCAAGTGGGCTGATACTCAAAGTACTTAACAACCAACACGGCATCCACTGACATGGCCCGCTGTAGCCCAGAAGGACATGCTGGAGACGGGGGCTTGGCAGGTGAGTCCCAGCACCAGCGGCCGCTGTGGGAGGACATGTACGGAGGCCTGTGTGAGCCCGACACTAAGTGGTGCAGCAAAGAGAGGGAGACAGACAGACGGGGGTGACTCTCACATAGCTCATGGGTGGTGCACCCTCCACATGTGTGTCGAGGGATGTGGGGAAGGAAGAAAATCTTTTTCCTCTGCCTACCTTAGGTTCTCCAGCTGAGGCTCTATAAATTAGACTGGAAAAGGTTAATTAGAGAAAACAAATAGAAGTTTATAAACATGTACTTCATGCATATACGCATGGCAGTACCTAGTGATGAGTAACACAAATGGGTGGTTAGAATTTGGGCCAATACAGTTGACCCTTGAACGACTTGGGGATCAGAGGTACTGACCCCTTGTGCAGTTGAAAATCTGCATATAACTTTTGACTCCCCCAAAACTTAACTGCTAATAGCCTACTGTGGACTAGAGCCTTACTGATAACGTAAACAGTCAGTTAACTCATCTTTTGTATGCTACATGTATACTGTGTTCTTACAACGAAGTAAGCTAGAGAAAAGAAAGTGTACCAAGAAAATCATAAGGAAGAGAAAATACATTTATAATACTGCACTGTCTTTGTTGGTACCACAAGTTTATGTCATCCGTTTACAAGACGAATCATCTGAAATGTCGGGCAACTGCACTGGCAGACCTCAATCTGTGGAACATATCAAACAATTCAACTTTTTTCTTACAATGTCATGACTTTTCTCTGCTTCTTGGAAACACTTCCGACATCACTAGTGGCATTTTGAATGGGTCCCATGGTGCTATTCAAGGTTGACAGTATTGCACTAAACACGATGAAAAATATGCAAGAATCATAAAAGAACACTTTTTACTGTGATATGCAATTTACTGGCTAGATGAGCTGCTCACGCGGAGATGGTTAGTGTCACAGGGCGTTTTCAGGGGATGCCTGCAACACTTGAGCTCATTGCAACAAGAGGAGGCTATGAAATTACTACAGTAGGACTGAGACACAGCAGGCCCTCCCCCCCAAGCATGGAGATAAAGGAAAATCTTGAGTCCCTTCAGGGAAAGTTCTGGGCAACCTGAAGAGAACGACGTGGCCTCAAAGTGAGCCGGAGTCATGAGGTGGTTTGGTTTCCTGTGGAAACTAGAGATGCCATCTTAACATATGTTCTTGAGTTGTTTTTCAGAAACCCCCACCTGATGGGAAATGCAGACAATGGGGAGCTGAGGAACTGAACTCTGACCGCCATTCTTTATTCTGCACTTCACCTTGAGGGGCGGGTCACACTCATCTTAACATTCCTTGCCATCGATCCAAGGATCTTTGAATTCACTGGTGCCTCCCGCTCCCACTTCAGGGTACCCTGCCTTTTGGGCCAGACCAACATATAACTTGCAGTTTGTACCAGTTTACAATTTTGCCTGCCTGAAATGTGCCCCTGCCTTTAAAAACGCTGGCTCCTAAGCCATAGGGGAGTTCGGGTCTTAAGTGTTAGTTGCCGGTTCTCCCGCAGCAACTCTCAACTTCAGTGTCTGGCTCTGCTGCGCTGGGGGAGCAGACCCCAGTTTGGTTTGGTAACAGCACAGTCTGTACTGCAGATAATTTTATGCAGTTATGATTTGATACTGCATCTTTGTTTACTTTTCTCTCGGCTACGGATGATACCACATACAGTGTGTAAGTTTTTTTTTTTTTTTTTTTTTT